CAGGGCCGGATTAACCCACTTTGGGGCCCTAGACATTTTCTTCTTACGGGCCCCCCTTTCTCACACTAGAAATAGAGCACACAAAAAATATAAAACAACAAATGAAACAAAACTAAATAATGTGAAAAACTAAAACAAATCTTAAATTTTTATTAATAAAAAATATTTAATACACAACAATAAATTTTAGTTTTCTAGAAAAGTTTGAACAGTTTGTTTATAAATTTAAAAAATTGAAATTTATTTTATTAAATGTCTAACAAAGGTTGTTATACAATAACAATATTACCTTAAAATATTAATTTTCAACCAGACTATGTCTTGTTTATAAAATCGTACTGCCTGCTGTGTTACCAGCTTAGAGGTATGAAAGAGTACATGTCAGGAGTTACAATTTGGCACAGAGTATTAAGTGCCCAAATCATGCGCGCATAAAAAAAAACAGACTTGTAGGTAGCCTACTCAGGGGACTGAGAACTGAATCAAAGTAAAATACAAAATGGCGACTCTCTCTACAAACAGGTAAACCGAAGTCAGGTGGTGAGAGTACCACCCACAGTCGTTCTAGGAAGTGAACTCTGACCCTAGGACTGAACACGTAGTATTTTTTTTGTTAAATAAAATTTGTAATCTAATTTTGTAAATTTGGAAGTACTTCAAATATGACATTAAAACAGGGTTTTATGTCGTTACAAGTAGATTTTTTTAACACTATCTAGTATAGTAAAATTGTAGGACTGATAAAAATTTGACGTTATATTAGAGTTGTTGTTACATCCAATGACGTTATAATCGGGTTAAACTTTATATTGTTTGTGCAAAATAAAAAAATAATAATTTCAGACGATACAATAGCCATGATTATTTTTTTTCAAAAACGGGAAATTTTCGTTAGGCATCGACAAAAATTCAACCCGGGTAGATGGGTTGCAACAGAAAAATTTCAAAATTGGATAGGTTAATTTCACCGAAAATGCATCGTGGACGACCTCGTGGTCGTGGCCGGCGAAGTTTGAACGATCGCGCCCAAAAGCAGCGATACCAAAGAAGATTGGAGAATGAGAAGGAGATCAGCTTTGAGCGTCAAAGTGATTCCGCTTAGTAGTGTCTCTGAGACATAGTTGTGTCTCGAATATGGTTTTGCCGTTTTACTTGTTTAATTTAACCTTTTTGGTTAATATTTAAATAATATAATATTTTGCCAGTTTTACTAGTATTATACAGTTGTCCAACAGAAAAGTAAACTATCTTATTTACAAATCTTTTCAAAATAGAGTTTGACCGGGCCCTTCTAAAAGCAGGGCCCTAGACATTTGTCTCATTTGTCTATGCGATGATCCGGCCCTGTGAATAGCAATGAATAATTGGTGCAAAAATTAGGGAAGACCACAAGTCAATTCAGGATAAACCAAGACCAAGTCAGGCACACACTATAATCACCGCTGTGGATGACATAATCAGAAGTGACAGATGAGTTACAACTTGCATATTGTCATATATAGTCCTGACCTGTTGCCATGCAACTTTCGCATTTTTGGACCTTTCAAGAGAGATTTGTGAGTGCAAAGATTCATGTCAGATGAGGTGAAGGATTGGGTCAAACAATTTTTTATCAGCAGACACCAGAATTCTACATGAGAGATATTGATCTACTTTTGAGACACACGAATCTTTGCCTAAACAAATATGGAGATTTCTTTTAGATTCACAATAAGTGTTTGCCAGTTCTGATGTGTGTCCACTTTTCATTTGGGCAACTCTTAAACATACTTGTATTCAAGTTCTACTATGTCAAATTTTTAATTTTATTTTAAATGTAATGCATACAAATTCTACATTTAAACATGACATGATGTTGGAAAAACTTTAACATAGCTTATCATATAAATCAGAGGTCTTCAAACTTTTAACATTTGTATAACTCTATTGGATTTCTACAATCATGTTACTGGCACTGAACCAATCATGATGAAATGAGCAGTTCTGTAAGTGTGTTGCTATCATGGCTGCTGACAACAAACTGGTGCCAAATTAACTGGCTTGGGCAAATCTCATCCACAGTAGGTGAGGTCAAGCAGCATATGTGGTGCAACAGCTGCATGTAGCCTTTGGGAACATTCCCAGTATTTTGTGAAATTTTTTATTTGATGTGTCATGTCAGTACAAACTATTTTGAAATTTTCAGTTTTTAGAATTTTGGGTAAAGGATTCTCAACCTGTATTAGGTTAACTAATTATATTAGGAAGATTAAAAGACATGTCATAGGTAAGGAAGATCAAACTTAAAAACAATAATTAAATGCTCACATTCATCATTAGGTTTCATTGAATTAAATTATATTTACATAGTCAGATATTATTAATATGTCAAACAGTAGCATCCATTGACAACTTTTAGAAGCATCCATTGACAACTTTTAGAAGCATCCATTGACAACTTTTAGAAGCATCCATTGACAACTTTTATCTAAAAGCAATATGTACTTAATTGGCAGACTGGCATACCTGTGGATTGTACAAGTGAAGGGCCAAGTCAGAAGCACTTTTATCAAAAAGATCCATTGTCCAAAAAATTTAGAAGTCCAATTTATTTACAGAAAGATAACAAATCCCTAAAGGAAAGTAAGAGCCTCTAAGCAATTATTTTTGTCTACCAGAAATTATTTTTGAATTAACTGACTTCTACATTTTTTCAGGTTCACCTGACTATTGTCCATTATGTACATACAAAGGTGGAATATAGAAAACTACTAAGGGCATGGGATTCATAAACTGAAACTTACTAAACTGAATTTATTTACTACCAAATAAATTATTACACCAGGCTTCTTACATGCTTTCTTGATTATTGAGTTCACTTATTTATTACACTCTGAAGAAGAAAGTATACTACAAAAGTCATAACTTGGCAAATTGCTATATTCTATGAAGTCCATATTTATAAAATCAATCTTATCATAATGATTTCTTCACCTAAGTTGATAGCTTCTGCAAAATCTTTTTTTTTCTGAGATAAGTCTCCTATTTTAAAAAAACAAAGTTTTTACTGAAATAGGAGTTTTTCTTATGAGGCATCATCTTTCCTTCTGCTTTCCTGATTCTTTTTTCTACATAACTTAACTTGTCTTCACAGTACAAATGTAGTCTGATTATCCTGTTCACCTGTTTATTGAATTGCCACTAAGATTCATCTCATGTTATCATATATCACCAAGAAAATGTGCTCATTTACAATGCCTGTCTGTAATGACCATGAAAAATATCTGACCAACATTTAACATCTTAAAATAACTGACTTTTACATGACTTTAACTGAAAGTTTTTAAAATCTGATATTTACCTGACCCACCTGACTTAACAGATCCAGTATATACTATACTAAGATTAAAAAAATGAACCCAGATGAAAGAGTACCTAAGTAAAAGATTTGCACACTCATAAATGAGGTGCAGAGAAGTCTCTTAAGCAGAATTTGCAAAAGTGGCAAAAGGCTGAGGAAGAGAGTTTCATTCAGTATAAATGTTTATAAACATGATCAAAACTGGTCACAATGCCAATCAAAGAGTGAACATGATTCTTATTAAAGGCAATAAAATGTACCTGAATTAAGAATTAAAAATAATCATAGCCTCACAAAACAAATATTTATTTTGAAATAAATGGAAAAATTTACACAATAAAACACATAGCAAAACATACAAAACCAAAATGGAATCAGCAGAGTGATTTTAGCAATAATAAGTTGGCAGTCAATGTGTTAAGAAGTTCCTGCATTAGAAGTTTTTCCATGTAAAAGTTTAATTTTAAAACTCCATATTTTTCCCCATAAGAGATGTGTAAATTTTTCCCATAAAAAAATGTTCTCATTAAAGAAAATTTCCCATTTAAGTAGATAGAAATCTTTGTCCACAATTGTAAAATGGGTTTGTTTGAAAAGTTTTTCAACTGCATCCTATGAAAAAATTTTATACATTTAATTGCACACAAAAAAAAAATTACATTAGGAAATACACAAAATTTTGTATCATTGTGTTTATGACTTTGAGTTACTATGAACATGGATTTTACAACTTTCTTATGCAGTTATCTGTAAACAATGCTTACAATAAACAGCAAGTGCTATCAGCACGTGGGTGATATTTTAAGTATTCAACAAATTTTAGATTTGTGATTCTGTTCATGGGAATTATAAAACATTTTTTTTTACATAACAAAATGGATGAAGCATGTCACATTAAAAAAATATCTAAATAAATAGCCTAAGTATACATGTACACCTAATTCATTGCAGTGTAGTGGAACTGTTAAATAAATATGGATTATTGAAAGAAAAGCTATATTATTTTCATTTCTGCTTAAGAAGTTTTTAAAATTTCCCTCGAAAAACTTCTTAATCAAGTTGTACTATACAATATTAATTAATATTAATTTTATTAACATCAAAATTCTGTAACAAACACTAGATCACTGTAGAGTGAGTGACCTAATTAGACTCCATCATTTCTAAATTTTATCAAAAATTGTAAAGATAAATAAATAAACCAATTAAATTTAAATGTAATAAAATAAATTTAATAAATTGTTTAAAAATATCATTACAAAGTTTTATTTATTTCTTTTAATATAAACAATATTTACAATAAAAAAAATTTTTTTTTGTATATAAAATTTATAAAATGAGAAAAATTCATAATTATGTAGAATAATATTACATAACACAGAATTTTTCTAGGAAGAACAGAAAATTCATGTGATATACAATTATAAAATACATTATTCATCAAGATTATATATTCTGACATTTTTAGAATATATTTTGAAATTTTATTCATCAATCCATCATACTTGTCATAAGAGTATTTCAATTTTCCTCCATTGAATTACAACAGATTCAATAAATTTACAAGAAAAAATATCCTGTTTTTTTAAATATACAAAATCATTACCCAAAATCAATTATTTATTTACATTTCTGAATATTATTATTATTATTATTATTAAGTATTGAAGTTTACCTGAATAATTATAAAACCTTCATTTCTAATTATATCTTCAATTTCTTCGGCTCTATCGAATGCATTCGGTTTAATAATAGCTAATGTTTGTTCGATATAAATATTTTCTTTCGATTCCTCTGCCATGTTTGTTTACATTAATCAATTTCCTATTTCGAACGTGGCGACATCTGTAATCATTCAATTTTAAAATTTCATATTTTATCCAATTAATCTGGAAATTTATGATTTAAAATAGTCAAATAGTAAAATAGTGTTACCCTCGAAATATGAGTACTGGTGAATGGACATTCCTTATAAATATTAAATAGAGAACACTTCAACTTATACAAATTCTCGAATGTACGATTTTGCATTGCAAATGACGTTGTTATCAACAATTCACGTAAATTTTCAAAGCGAAATTCGTGCTTAGACCTCATTACTACTTGTAACTGTCATTGTCTGAAATACTTTAGTTTAGCACCACTCTCAATTTAGTGTAGGATTACCATATGGTATGCGAAAGGAAAACATATCCTCTAAAATAAGAACATAATTCTTTTGAATACCGTACGGAGGACTTGTTCTTCAAATATTCCCCTCTGATCAAACTTATCCGTAATATAACCTTTTCAGAACCTAACTTAATGCCAGTTTCAGAGGTGAACAAATGATATCGCTAAATCAAAATCTGATTAAAGACTTCGATTAGTTATGAGCTTTCAAAGAAAACGTAATTAATTAGAATACTATTGTTATCTTTTATTCACATTTTAACTGAAGAATTGATTGTGAAATTAATGCATTAAACGCTGAACAAGTGTAAAGAAATTAAATTTAAAGGCTTTTTGCAGGACTATAAAATAAAAATTGGCAAGCAAAATTGAATCTAAAACGTGATAATATTTAATTTAAATGTAAGCAAATTACATCGTATAAACAATAAACATTTCATGTGTTCCTTGGTTTCAATGTTCAATGTTCATTTTAATGTAAAGTCCATTCGAAATGGAGAGAATTATAAAGTAATTCAAAATTTTCCTATTTATATCTGGATGTAAATTTGCATAATCCAACCAAATAGGAATTATGTAAATTTGTACAGTTAGATGGAAAACAGGATAAAATCTCAAGTTATCGTAAAATTATCGGAATTGAACGATCGCCAACGCTTCAATTTCTACTTGATATTCATAGAATATAAATGTTTTCAACGTTCTGTAGGAGCTTAATACTACATTTTATGATTGAATAAGACAATAATATTGTTTAGGGCTTATAATATGTTTAAAATTTAAAAAAATATAATTGAATAAATAGAAACTTTCATAATCAAATGGTGATATCAAAAGATATCTATACACTTGAAGATCAAAAGTATTTTATATAGAAAAAAGTGAAATATGTTTTAAAAATATAAAATGTTCCGTTTTTATGCAATTTTACGATTGAAATTTTCGAAAATTAATTAAATTCGTGCTGCTTTTTTAGTTGAAGCTGCAAGAATAAGTTAGTAAAATAACGAATTAAAAATTTCTGTTGAATTTTTATAATAAAGAATTTATTACATTTCAAAATTTCATATTTATAACTAATGAAGGTTTCAGGCACAGCTTTCTTAGGCTTTTGCTTAAGATCTAGCACAGAAATTGTTTTTCGATATCTTGTACTTATTATCCAGTACTAGATAAGATTCTAGATCTATATGCTTTACAATGTTCCTTTCATATAAGTNCATATACTTCTCTGAGCAAAAAAAATTTTTGCTGAGCAGATTCCGAGCAAAAAAATTTTCTGAACATATATATATAAAATCTTATTTTTTTCTATAAAAATTAAAATAATTAATTATAAAGTAGAGATTAAAATTCATTTTAAAACATACTTTTATACAAATTATTATCTCTTGTCAATGATTTAATGTGTTTAATCGAAATATACGTAGCAATAATCATGTTGCAGACAGAGTGAGAAATAAGTAAACAACAATTCAAATCGGTGTGCATGTTCGCCTGCGTGGCACATAAATTCTCGTGCGCGGCAACAATTTGAGCAGTGTGCGGCCACGCAGCTTAGAGGGAACATTGGTTGGGACCTTGACAGAGCTGTAGGGAATATACAAACATTCATATAATAGCATATTAACTTCATTCAATCTGGATTACACAAATATGTTATCGTAATACTTTAAGGAATAATTTACAAATTGATCGTTTTTAATACTGCTACATGTTTATTGTATTATTTTGACTGAAGTCCTACTTCTGATTAATCATTTGAATCTCATTAGTTTTTAATATAATTAACTTTTCTTATTGAAAGTTAGATTAGACAATGGTAACTCAACACCTTGTCTGGAACCTGTTACCGTTGTGTTATGTGAATAATAAAGTTTATCACTAACATTTTCGAACTGTTGAATAGTTCTTTAATGGCCATTATCTACGCATGAAATATGCATGTCCTTTGTAACGACTTTCATCAGGCATACGTTTGATTTAATTTGAATATTCACATTCTAATTTTGTGCTCCATTAGTTATTTGGTATATTTTACCTGAAGAAGAGCTATTAAACAGTTCAAAAACGTTGGCGATAAACTTTATTATTCACAGAACGCACCGGTAACAGGTTCCAGGCAAGGTGTTGAGTTACATCCCTGGTGTTGAAGTGTTGTTGAAGTTGATGTTTAGACAATGGTACTTGGATATCTTCAGAAGTGATAAGTCGTGCCAATTTAAAAAAATAAAGCAAGAAGTTAATATCTTTAACTTTGCTTTTGTTAATTATTTTGAATTAAATTTAATAATTAGTAAGTAAAAATTAAGTAGAATTATTAAATTAGTTCAAAGTCAACTAGAGCACAAAAACTGTGTAGAAGTTTGCAAAGAAGTAAGATATACAGTTTGTTAATTAAAGTGAATTTGTCAACAAAATAGCCTGTATTCAGGACTGCTGATAATGTATGTCAACTCCATGAGCAGAAATGTGCTGCATTTTGGTAAGAAGTTGGCAGAAAAGAAGCCTGTGGAATAAATAAAGGCTCCCTATTAAAGTTGTGATATAGCAACCTTAGTTGTAGGTCTATAAGTTCAAAACAAAAAATTGGGACATTGCATTATGAATAAAATTTGATTGATATCCAACATTAGGTAGGCAGTAGTCATTCTGGAAAATAAGTGAATAATTCTAATTAAACTAATTTTATTGAATTATCAATTAAAAATTTTCATTATTAGTTGAACCAATCTTACTTATTTTGCTTACATATTTCAACTAAGTTTTTGTTAAAAAAACCCAGCTACTCCTATTGTGGATGTGACCAAATCCATGGATAAGATAAAAAAATAAGAATTCTCTTAGTCCTAAAGGAGTGAAACAGTAAAACTAAGAATAAAGTTTGATTTTTGTCCAGATGTAACCAAAGATCCATTGTCGATGATTGCATGAAACCTTCAATAATTCTGAAACTATTGTCATCACCACACAGGACCAACTAAACACAACATATGTGCCATAAATTAGTATAGGTGTATGTATATGAGGACAGTTAATGTATGAAAGTATGACATCTGCAGACACTTATAGCCTGCTATTGTTATTTTGCTGTTTTTAATACAAATCAGAATGTTTTCAGGTAGAAATGGATAAATTGGACATTCTAGAGAAAAAATTTTCTGATTGGAATGAAGTGTTCCAAATCAGACACAAATCCCCCCAAAAAAATTGGGAGGATAGCAATCCTACCTAGATCTACCATTACTATGATCTACTAGATCTAACATACTTATGGTAAACCTGATAACCTGATGGAATGATCAAAAATGAGATAGAATAATTAATAGATTTATTCTCTGGCAAGAACTTGGAAGTTAGATGGAAGTTAGATGCAAATTAAAAGTTCTAAAAAGAGTAATAACTCACTCTTGGTGCAATTCCATTTAATAAAGGTATCATCTACATATCTCAAGTAGAGAATAGAAAAGTTAAGTCAATGTAGCCATAAAAATCCTTTGTTCTAAAGCAGGGATGTCCAACCTTTTTGTTTCTCTTCAACACTGGGCAGATGTATGTCAAAACATAAAACAGGTTAGCTAACTATTGTGTAAATATATCCAAAATTGTTGTAATTTACCATAATAACAAATGTAATAATCGAATTTACCAATTTATAGAAATGTAAAACCTGAAGAGGGGTGCAAGTTACAAAAAAACATTGCACCCGAAATGCATAGTAAATAAAGAATATGAAGATAAGCTTTTGTCTCTGTTTTTGCCTGGACCGCATTTAGGTCCAGGCAAAAAAATGATGGTTATTTCTGTGGAATTAACACATGAAGTTTCATCAATTTTTTTGAGGAAATATTCTCTTTGAAAAATTGACATTTTAAAAAAATATTGTTTTTTCCCACGGGAAAAAAAACGAAATTACTTCCGAACAACCCAATATTTCGCTCTGCTTTAATTACATAAAATTATTAAAAGATCATTGAGCAGAAAATATACATATTTTAAAACTGTTGCTTTATAAAAATATTGCCATAATTTTGAATGGATAACCCTTGCATTATGTGTTTGTAAGAGAGTATGGATTATATACTGATTTTAAATTCCAATCACAAGTTAGTTGATTCACACTATATGACTGGTTGGTCACAGACAACTAGTCCACTGGATTGACAATTATCTATTCATACATTCATGAAAAATGACATTATTTGACTATATTTTCCTTGTTTTTTACAATCCTGACTATTTCAGTGGATTAAGATTTAGCTTTTTAATAAATACTTGCAATTAAGATACAGATTAATCTTCAGTCTAATACAAAATACAAGCCAAAAAGATTTGAATTTTTATGCAATAAATATTTATGATTAAAACGATTAAAAAAGAAATCATTTATTTTATTTTATTGCTGAACAAAGGAAATTAGTCATAAAATAAAAATGATAAATTATATTTATATTGGTTTGCAAAACTTAAGCAACTGTTGTGACTATGCATAATAACACAAAAGGGTGAGACTGTGAACAATACATTTATTGTCTGTTCAGGATTGGTTATATGGTTAATGGCAGGACAATGGTCCAACTACTCTTTTGTCACGTGACTGACTCTCCTCACTGTTGAGGGGCGCCCTTGTCGTTGCATCCTCCCCACCTTGGTCCTCTGCTTCTAGTGGGAGAACCAATTAAATGGGGCAGC